ATAATCTGATGAAAAAAGTTTCCTTTCATTTTTTAAAAATAAATACATTCTAACTTTCATTTCAATATGTTTCACCTTTTATCTCAATATGAAATCTAAAAATATAGCACTTCGTTTCTAGCACTTTTTAACGTGTTTATTTATTAAATTAATATTTAATCGATTCATTTATTCATATCATGTCATATCATTTATTCGATTCATATCATAGGATATTTAAATATATCGAATGTTTGTTTAAGTTGTTAGCGATGGATGAAATTCAATAATAATAAGAACAATAATTTATTTAATCACAAAAATTATCAAACAAAAATATTAGGTTGAAATATAATTAATTTATCACACTCACATGCTCACACGTCTTTTCACTATTAAAACTCAATTGCAACTGACCTATGCCAAATCACTCTCCTTTTCTTTCTTTCTTTTTTCATACATTACATTAACATGCACAATTCACATAACACCTCAATCATTACACGCATACTCATTTATCATAATAACCTGAATTCATTAGATATTTCCATCTCATGCATACTTGTTCCACTCATCCCAACACATATATATTTAAAAATCTATATAACCACAAATCACATAGGTACTGCATACGTATCAAGTTAAATTGAAAATTTATTTTCGAACGATATTCGTTGAATATATAATAGTAAAATATAAATCCTAGACACTTTTATCACGAAGCATGAAAGTAATTGTCGATACTATACGTGGAGTATTTTTCGTGTATATTAATTGCTGCGCAATACGATTTTAAGTTTCGTAACTTTCATAACATCCTCAGAAAATTTATTTCTATAAAATATCCCAAATTGCAACGAGAAAAGAATTATATTTAAATTATTACCTCATTTTTCTGTAAGCAAATTTTGACTACAATTTCCTAATTATTACAAGATAAAAATTTCCCATTTAAGAAGTTTCCTCGTAACAGCATCGAGATTATTATACAAAACAGTTTCACGTTTTACATTATCACCTAACTTCTCCGTAAATAAACTTTTATTTGAATATTCATGCTCACTGCATAATTCATATTTTCTATTCATCATCTGGTAACATCAGTTGTTATACCAAAAAATTCCGCGTTCTGAATTATTACCTAATTTTTCTCGAAATAAATCTTTATTTTTATCGTAAATAATATACGACCCAGATTTTCCATTCAACAGTGCCTTCTAACAACACGAATCACTGTTAAACATTCTGCCAACCCGTTTATCACACATTTCCATATTCCCATTACCTGCTTCGCGTATTTTCTGCAAGACGCCATTATGCAAAATTAACTTGACGAATTACTCACCATGTTCCAGGGTTATACCATACGAAGCATTTAGATCGCGAACGTGATGTACGTATTACATTTAGCAAACTTTTATGGGTCACTAATTTAAATTAGCCGGGCGGCCTAGATTAGCGAAAACAATGTTTCACGAGTGAACTTGATTTATTAATATTACTATAAGGCCCCTCCACGTTAGGCAGTACGAAATTAATTTCCACCTATTTCTCTTCGAAATTTTCACGAATATTTCAAACGGTAAACACGCTGTGGACCCTGCATAACCCCTAGCAACTCACCCCTTCCGCCCCCTTGATCGATATCTTAATCGGCCACACGTAAAAACGTTCTATATTTATTAAATCCTTTTCGTTTGGTTTCTCGTTGATATTTCGTTGCGTTTGCTTGTTGCTATCGAACACTCGATATAACCGATAACTCGATTGAAACGTTAATCAACCTGGCAATATCTTGCTAGCACATGAAAAGAGGGATAAACGGTTGTATTTACGAATCCTATCCGCCCACCATTTCACCCCTTAACAGAAAGTCGATTAGAGGGACGTTATCTAGACAGTTTAACGAATATGCAATAAATACACGAGAGAGTCAGGCACGCTTTGACCATCGTTTTTTATATCTCGGTCAACCTTCAATAATCCCTGTCTCTCATTCCTTTAACATTTTCCTTAATCGCCTGACCTATACGGTTAAGGAGCATAGACATTTTTACGCTATTTAACCCCGAGTTAATTTTACTTTCACCTCTTTAGTCCGGTAGTCGTTGTGTTTCTAGGAAAGCACGAATTCGTGTTTTGTCGAACAGATGATGGCCCGGGTGACAGGGGGTAGGATCAACCTAGGCTGATGAACAGGCATTATTGTTTATTGGAAGTTCGGTTGGATTATTAAGACGTATTTTTATCGTGGTTTATACGGGTCGGGGTGATCGGAAATTGCGTTAGCTTTGATTAATTCGACGTATTTTATGGGCGAAAGTTGGGAATGGACTTGTTTCGTTGGGTTAATGTCGAATTTCCGGGTGGTTTTATAAATTCGGAGCTACTGCCCCCATTGGTAATGATAATTTGTTTCGATTTTGTAATTTTGGGATTGAACAGGTTTATACGAAGATTTTTAATTTTCTTTTATGTTTCTTGAATTTATATTTCGCTGTGTTATAATTTCTGAGTTCCTTTCTATTATTTTTGTGTTCAGGTGTGGCTAGCAATGTGTGACGTGAATTTGTAAACGTGATAAATAATTAATTGTCTTTCCAATTAAAATTCCTGTATTTTCTAAAATCCATAGTTTAATGTACGATATATATGAGCATTAGAAAAAGGAGCAAATAATATTAATAATAAATGATAAATAATCCTTGGAATATAAATTTCCCAGTCTTTGGGAATCCACGGTTCAAGTAATAGTATAAAAAGAATTTTTGGAAGGTAATGAACGATGACGAATTATCTGTCCAAATAATTGGAATAATGTGTCCCATGCATAACTATTATTCTTCGACGAGAAACATTTTTCATATTTTTCTCAAATACTCGACAGTATGCACTACGTCATTTTACCATAATATATCATTTTTATTTTTGTTCTGCTCTGACTCGAAACCATAAAGAAAAATGGAATTATATAAAAATATCCGATGTATGTCGTAATATAAAGGCCCTAAACAACATTGTATGGGATATTTCACGAAATATAAAGTTTGATAGTGCCATATCAACGCATGAAAGTATCTCGACCCCGTTTCAAAGTTACTCTGTTTTTCGTTTTTATCATTTATTCACCCGTCTTGACAGAAAATGCCATTAGAAACTTTCAACACGCTTTGCTTTTACCCTGGGACCATTGCACGTAGCTCACACCATAGAATATTATGGAAATGCATGAAATCATTAGCAAGGGAGTACATCAAACGCTATATGTTAATTACGAGTGCCTAACAATAAGATTACGTTAATTATTAAATTGGTTTCAAATTAATTAGATATATAATAGCTGGCTTGAGATTTCAACCAATTTTAAAAGATTCTTGCAAATATTTAAACGTCTCGCCTTTTCAGCATACAAACTACGTGACACGAATCCGACACACACTTTTCTTTTGTTCAATTCTTCGGTAATTATCGATTTTATTGGCTCCTCGTTCACTTTCAATTCGCTGGCCATCATCCTGAATATTAAAGAGTATTTTAAAGTCGTTTTTAAGTGAATCAACCATTCTTCTGACTCGTCAGAGGTTTAATCTTGCTACGTTGTAACGTGGTTGAAAGGTAAACGAACAACGATGTTCCTGGATTATGAAAACATGATTTCGGGGAAAAAATCGTTTCAAGCTTGGAAATCATTTCCTGATAATATTTCAATTATGGATGGTCCTTGCAATTATAAAACAACTCACAGAATTTGATATTTAAATTTCTGCAATTAAATTTCACAGCGTGGAGTACGTTTCATAACCCCAATTTGAAAAAACAATTTACATATTTTAAAAATTGAAGTCCTTCAATAAAAGCATCATCAGTACCGATACAATTTTTTAATATTAATAATTAATATTAAATTAAAAATTCTCTCATACACGAAAAGATTCTCGCAATTAAAAATTCTTGGTTCAGCATATAGGCCAGATATAAAACTCTCACGATACACCTAAAAATTCCTATAATGGAAAATCGTTGCCCGATGGTAAAAAATGCTTACGGTGAAATTTACGGTTACTGAATAATTACAAATTTCCGTAACACTCTAAAAAGTTATCCTCATGATTAACGCTAGATTTACGATTTATATCATTTCGACGCACTTCAAATTTCGCGAGGAAAATTACAGAAACCGTTTACGTTTAAATAAAAATAATCCACACGAATATTATAAATATGATTTGAATATATATCAATTAATAAAATATATTATACATTTACATATCATAAAATATATTATAAAATATATTATAAAATATGTTATACAA